AGAAGGAGAGGCACCATTTTACCTCTTTCCAGACCACTGCAGGGCCCCATTTGAATATTAAGGTAGCAGTTCTTGAGGACTTCCTTGGGTAGGAAGATACAATAGGCTTGGGCCTAGTTAGTAGTTGTACTGGAGATGGTTATGACCAGGGCTTTTTTTCTCATAGAACACCCAGAACGGAGTTCCGGCACCTTTTTGGGATGGAACCTTGTAGGGTTGGCAAGGGGGTTGTATGACGTGTGTGAGTTCCGGCACCTTTTTTTTTTTTAAAGAAAAAAAGCACTGGTTATGACTACAGATTAGTCTACGACTTGGAAAACATTGTCTAGAAGGCAATGACAAATAACTTTCAAGGTTCCTTATCATTCTTGAGATTGACATGCAAACATATCTCTGAAATGGCCTCTTCTCTTCTAGACTTCTGGGTTCCTTAGATACTTCTCCCAGCACAGTCTTCATAGACTCAGCTACCTCTGACAGTGGGAAACCTTGTAGATGGAGACTACACAGACACATTTATCTATCTTGGAACTACTCAGTTATTTAAAGGAATCTATATCTTTTCTTTTATTTTCTTTTCTTTTCTTTTGCCTTTTCTTTTCTTCTGCAGGATTATCATTGGAAGAAATGAAGGAAAAACAAGAATAAGGAAATCTGCAAAAGTTTACTGATCTGGACCAGGCCTTCTTTACTATGACTGCACGATGAGTGATTAAAACATTTTATTAACTGCCATATATAGCAGAAATACCCATCCCAATTGGAAGAAGGCAAGGACAGGGCAGCACGTCATACAGAGTTGTTCAGGTTGCTTTTTTCAAATAACAGGAGCATTTATTTCTTTATTTCTTTGGGCCTTTAGAATCTCCTTTCATGTATATAGTAGAGCACCGCTGTAAAATTACCATGACAAACACAGATATTGTTCATAAAGTGGAAAGGAATTTATAGCCCATTTCATCAGTTCCTACACATTTAAGTTAACATGTGCAGTTAACAGGCCTTGAAACAGGTGATTTACTTTTTCCAGGTATTTATAATCAAAACTAGTTGGCTATTGTATGTATGATGCATGCAAAGTCTCACAAGACAAATTTATGTAAAAATCATTGAAAAAATTGAAGCTGTGCAAGAAAGGGAACCTGAAGTTTATATTTACTACTCAATTAAGTGTTTGATGAAATAATAATCTGAAGAGAAAATTTAAGTAGGCAGAAAATTAAGCTTTTCTTAGCCGGTCTGATCTGGATTGGGGGGGGGGGTGTTTTATCCTCAAACGGTCGTTCAAGCAGTGATTTCTTCCATTACCATTTCCTGATTGTCTGAGTATTTGCACATTCTTCCCTCTTGAGATGTATTTTCCAGTATTATGCTAACCAGTCAAGATTTGCAGTCTGACCTAAGGAAAAAGAGAACTTTCACTGAATCTATTTAAGATGGGAAATGAAGCCAAACGAAGTAAAAGACAACAGAAAAAAGGGACCCTACAACTGCAGTAATTATGTCTGTAGATCTAATTCTGTACAACTGACCATAAACTGTATCTCTTTCTCATCACTAACTCTATAAATGGTGCTCAAAGGACATTTATATTAAACTTATTCCTGGGTTCACTAACTCTCTAGGGTTACCCTTACGTATATCCCCGCATCCCCCCCCAAAAAAAGCATATAAGGTAGGATTGTGGCATTAGAAAAAGCAATGAAGATATACCCAGCTTTCAACAGATCCCCTTATCTTCAACAAAACAAAATGAAGTCTTAGCATTGTGCCTATCTATATTGGACTGAGATATTACTTATTATTATTTTTTCAACACCGCCAGGTTTTTTTTTCCAGATCAGATCTGAAAGAAAGAATTCATATTGAAATGCAACAATGTGGTGCTAACATCATCATAAATGTGAGAAAAGCAATTCCAGACAGGAAAGAAAAAGCTGTTGTGGAAGGAATTAGTGACTTCATCCTCAAGAATTTTGTTTGCAGACAGCACAGGCACACAGATGGATATCAGCATTTTTTTTCTTTATCAGCAGAAGAAAAACACCGTCTGGGTTCTGTTTTCTCACATCACTGGCTGCTTACCATGATTCTGTAATTAGTCATGAAACTCATGAATAAAGAGTTAAAAACTGGAAGAAATATCAAGCAGCCTCTCATCTCTTTCCCTCCTCTGCCCCTTCCTTTGCCGGCTTTGGAAGAAGTGATGGATACTCATTAAACTCATCTCCCTGTTTATGGACATATGAATAAATCATTTGTTAGTGGAAGTGTTACATTATTAACTGGTCTCTTTTACAGACACTTTGCTGATAAAAACATTGTCCTCATTTTTGCATTTTCTGATTTTTGCATAATATTATTTGTTTTAAGGTGACCATTTTGGAGAAACTAGTAAAGAACAGAGAGTCTTTTAAGCTTTTCTGTGGGATTGTTTTGTTTTGTTTTCTTTTGTTTTGTGTGGTCGAATAATAACTCAATGATTAGATTCAGAATATCAGTTTCATTCAATTATTTAAGTAACCTGATTTACTTTGGATGCCTAAATCAAATTGATGAATCAATTTGAAGGCTTTTCATTTCCAATTGTATTCAGAAAGTCAATCAGACTGTCTGTGAACTGACTCTGACTGGAACCTTTATACAGATCTAGTTGAAATACATTCTGTAATTACTGTTTTATATGTGAATAACAGCCAACGGTAGTAGTTTGGCAATTTCTACTGTGTAAATGCTGTTTATTTTATTACAAATGTTGAGGTGACGGACAATGTATCTCACAAACATACTTTCAGTATCTTAAGATTCATACATTTTAGGACTATAATTGCCAAAAGGCACTTAAAACATTATTCACTCACCTGAAACTTAATCTGAGCCATTTGATAATCCAAATATTCTACTGCAAGAAATGTGTTGATTGTATTGTTACATTTTAGCCTGTTTCCCATTGTGTGATGTAAAAGTTCTATTAAAATGACAGAATCTAAACTCCAATAAAAATGAAGGTGAAAAAGTATGAGAGAGCATGCACAAAGAAAAGGAGTTTCTTCTCAAAATGAGAAGAACACAAAGGCCATGTTATGTTAATCAGAGTTAAGATAAAGTGGAGATTTTGAGTTGTGGGAAAATGTCTTTTCCAGACGGAATGAACATTCAACCTCCATAGGAAAGAACTCTTATTTAAACAAACTGAATATTAATGCATTAGACTGCAGTCATTGTCAAATATTTTATGAGCATTACTAAATTATTTAGTATCAACTACTGAATTATTACCTAATTGCAAAACATTTGATCCGAATGTCTGATGAAGAAGTACTTTTAATAAATGTGGAAGTTCAAGCTGCTATGGTATATCACTTCATGTGCTTTTTAATGGCTGCTCTTTAATTCTGGAGGTTAAGTGGTCACGAAGATTTTACTTACTTGAAAGAGATGTAAAAAAGATGTTGAGACTCTAGAAAGAGTACAGAGAAGAGCAACAAAGATGATTAGGGGACTGGAGGCTAAAACATATGAGGAACGGTTGCTGGAATTGGGTATGTCTAGTTTAATGAAGAGAAGAACGAGGGGGGACATGATAGCAGTGTTCCAATATCTCAGGGGCTGCCACAAAGAAGAGGGAGTCAAGCTATTTTCCAAAGCGCCTGAAGGCAGGACAAGAAGCAATGGATGGAAACTAATCAAGGAAAGAAGCAACCTAGAACTAAGGAGAAACTTCCTGACAGTTAGAACAATTAACCAGTGGAACAACCTGCCTCCAGAAGTGGTGAATGCTCCAACACTGGAAGTTTTTAAGAAGAAACTGGACAGCCACTTGTCCGAAATGGTATAGGGTTACCTGCTTGAGCAGGGGATTGGACTTGATGACCTCCAAGGTCCCTTCCAACTTGATGATGATGATGATGATGATGATGATGATGATGATGATGATGATGATGATGATGATGATGATGATGATGATGATGTGCAAAATATTCCAAGCTTGAAACAGTTCAGGCTAAAACTGGCTGTTTGAGTTTGGAAGTCAGAAACAGAACTTGGTCATTCTGAATGGCATCACTTTGAATGTTCTAACTGGCCCAGATGCTGCAGTTATTAGTTTCATAGCTTGTGACTAGATTGAATAAACGTGGGTGCATTGCTTCATTGGCAATTCTTGTGGAAATGGACTCAAAGCTTTACGAGGCTTTGGAAATAGGACTGTCCCCAGATTCTGAGCACAGATAAGGAGGCCCATTTTGACACCCACCAAAAAGAATGGAAAATCTCTTATCAGGAAAGACTCCCTACCTGGATTCTCAAGAGAGAAAAGAAGTTATTTTTCTTTGTCCTGTAATGTGTTGGACAATCTCTTTCAAAATCCTATTAACAAATAAGGAATATATTTGGTTTTGGTTCAGAAGTGAGAAAGGCCTCTTCTAATAGATTCTAAACCAGGGGTCCCCAGCCTCCGGTCTGTGGACCGGCACCAGTCCGTGGCATGCCAGCAACCGGGCCACACAAACAAGTGAAGCCCCATCTGTGGGATGCGGGCAATATGTAAAACTGTGCACCCTCTGATCCACAGAAAATCCTTTCTCCACAGCATCGGTCCCTGGTGCCCAAAAGGTTGGGGGCCTCTGTTCTCAACTATTGGTTAACTGGTTTCCTTCTTACTGCAGATGGTTGGTCAGCAAGGATTGCCTTTCTTGCAGTTTGAAATTCCAATATTCTAAGTTTGTTCCAACAGGACATGGAACACTTAAGCCATTTTGAATTTTCTCTCATAAGATCTCAGGCAACACAAAATGTTTTGCTAGAATACTTGAAGGAGGACTCTTTGTTCCAGGCTCAAATTAAAATACATGTTCCATTTTACCCCCTATGGAATTAAATTACTGTTGATATTATCTGGTCATTCTTAAATTCTTGAAATTTCTTTGGAGGGAGGGATTTCCACAGAATAAAACTAACCACCAATCATGGAAAACATGGCAAACTAAATTAAACAAAAATATGGTTTATTTTACACAAATGAAGAGTCAAGGTGATAAAACTGAGGAGGAAAAGAGGCAGAAAGAAAAGAAAGACACCAATAAAGCAAATAAAGGAAAAGTAGATTCATTCTCACAATCATAATAGCTCCCTGCATTCATAAAACACATGTTACTCTCCAGTCAAAAATGCATTTTGCAGATTATCTTCCTGTTTGAATGCAAGATTTGTACTTATATAATGCATAAGAAAAAATATAGTTTATATAAATAGCTTTAAAAGACTATTTTCCTCTTTATGGTTCAAAACTATAAAGGAAGCAAAGTAAAAATATAGAATTTATGAGTTCAATCTGTACAGTTCTGTTTTAATTTTCGTATTCTGATCTTTATATTTAAAGCTGGATGATTTTAATAAGGTTACAATTGATACTCAGAGTATAAAAAAAATTGAGGCCAACAAAGGCCTCATTCATGGTAGGACTGCACAACATTAGACCTAATGCAGAATATCTAGTTTGTCTTGTTGATTGCCAGATAACTGTTCTTGTCTCTTACACAAGAACTTTATCAAAAACCTCTAGCATGCATGGCTAACTGGAAATTTAGCTTAATAGATCACCATGTCTTCAAGCCTTATACTGATCAATATGTTTTTGCCTGCGCTGACATGATACAGTGACTATAAAACAAGAATTCTTTCATGTTTTTCATCTGCAAATCAGATTTGCCAATACAATCTGCAGCATTACAAATTATTGGAACCATTATTCCACCTATTTTTAAAATTTTAAATGTGCTTTACTTTTAAGCAAAGAAGTTTGCAAGAATGTATTTTTAATGCATCCTACAAATGCTTTGTTTATCAAATTATAGTAAGCCCTGGTTTGCATCCTGTGAATTGAAAATGTTCCAGGGAGGCAAGCAAACCCTGTGTTCATTCATGGAATATTCCAAGCAGCCCTGGCAATCCTTTAAATTTCTATATGTAAGAATACACGTTTTGTGGAAAGTGCCACTCAATTATTTGGAGGGAAGGGAAACCTTTAGAAATCATTAAATAATTGGTATACTTGGAAGTCATATAGATAAGATGCCAATTATAATTCAATTAGTATGATTGTTAAAATCATATTAAAGTTGCGTAAAAACCACAATTCAGTGCTTTTTTTTAAAAAGAGAACTATTGATCAAGAATATGCAGTACTTAGTGAGTATTTTTTAGTAACATTCAACTTCTTCATCTCATTTGAAAGAAGGTCAAGGTAGTGCAAAAGAATATTTTACTATATATACTTAAAAACAGACTAACCTGTGACCCAGCTAGGTTCTTATGCCCATGTAAAGAATATAATAAAAGGGCTATTCTAAAAATAAAAAAAAACTAGTAGGAAATTAGACCAGCATGCAGGTATTCTCTAAGCATTACTTGACATCACATAATAAGGCAACGCCACGTAATATCCAATGTTCAGGTGGCTGGGTGGTCCGTAGGTCCACTGCAGTAATGTAATTGAGATCTGTCCGAAGTGGTTTTTTGTAGATTGGACATGAGTATAGGCGTGGATCTTTTGAGGCTAAGAAAAGACAAACAAGGAAAGTTTATTTTTATAAGGTTGTGAAAAAACTCAAATAAAATTTAAATTAACATAGCTTAAATCAAAATGTTAAACAAGAGTTTAAATGTATAAATTATCAGATCTTAGCTTAGCCAAGGATAAATTATGAAAACCACTTATGAAAAGACATTTAGAAAGATAAAAGGAACTAAGGGAAGTTTTTTATAAACTGACATACAGAATAAGAGAAAAAAAGAGCTTCCTGAAAGACCTGAAACAGAACATTGTATATTAGGAATCTTAATACAGAGGTCCCCAACCTTGGCAACTTTAAGACTTGTGGACTTCAACTCCCAGAATTCCTCAGCCAGCTTGGTTGGCTGAGGAATTCTGGGAGTTGAAGTCCACAAGTCTTAAAGTTGCCAAGGTTGGAGACCCCTGCCTTAATATACTACACCAAATTATCACATACAGCATCTTTGCCTGTTACATGCTTTTCGATGTGTTGATTTTCTTAGCGAATAAGCAATAAAATATGCATAAAAGTGTTTTTAAAAGTATTGCCTAGCTATATTTTAATCAAAAGGTTTGAGTGACTAAAAAGGGTTTAAACCTCCATATCGCTCCCTCCACCACTTCAACAGTTTCACTTCACAGGAAAGAAAGCATCAGACAATAACCTTAACACTCCAGGGAGACAGACAGAAAAGCAGATGCTCCTCCAGGAAATTATACATCAAAGCAGATGGGAGTTTAAAAATTAAAAGCAGCATGTTGAATTGGGTCCAGCATATAACGCGCAGGCATAATATGTTTTTCAAGTAGCTCAACTCTAGTCAGCCTTTCAAGATAATTAGAATTTCTAGGCCATTTTAAAAAAAGAAACATTTATACAGCAATACAGTAATTCAATTGAGAGAGTACCAGAATGTGGATAATTATTGCCAGATATCTTTGTCCAGGAAGGTTAATTATCAGTGTATCAGACCAAGGGCCCATCCATACTACAATGGTAATATGCTCCCAATGATGGGAGAAAAGGATTCCAACAAAACAAAATGCCATTTTCCAACCTTTTATCATACCTCTGAGAGGCCAATAATTTTGCTGCCCTCAAAGAAAGTAATATGGGTTACTTTCAGAACAGGAATTGGTTTTACTCTTCCAACCCAGATAAATAACTTCCAGAGATTCCTCCTCAACACACTGGATTGTCAAGGCACGTGGTCTTCTGTCACAATAGCTGGGAAAACACTACTTTCTGCCAGAACTCAATGAACTGATCTAAGAGATAGAAGCCACCTAGTCCATCATTAAGTAATTGACATGTTATGTCTATGGAGATACTCAATCATCCAGGTCATGGTTGTCCCAAAGCTGCTTTTCCAAAAGGCAACTGAATTTTCTTGGTATTTTCCTTGAAAACATTTCATTTCTCATCCAAGAGACGTCTTCAGTTCAGAAGCTGCCTTTTGGAAAAGCACCTATGGGACAATTGACATCCTGTGTCTATTCAGCTGTGTGAATGAGCTCTAAGTTGATAAAAGATATGGAATCACAAAGCTCACTTGGGCCTATAGTGACAATGATGGAATACAAACCATCCAACATTATTTGGAACAAACCTGATTCCCTAAAACAGGAATGGACCCACTTCCCCTATCAATGTTGCCGATTATCAAGTCTCATCAGCATAGTCAGTGGTAATGAATAATGAAAGTTATAATCAGTATCTGGAGAGTCATGCTTTACCCATCCCCAATTTAGAGACAGTTCTGTTGGAGTAGAATATCACTGAACATGCCAGAAGTACCTACAAAACTGGAGGTAAGATGGATGGCAAAAAAATTACTGAACAAATAAATAAAGGAAAACTTGCCTGACTGAGTTTCAGATTTTTTTTCCTCTCATCTTTTCCATTACTGTTAGTCCCACCTGGTAGAACAACCAAGAAGCAACTCCACAGAAAGGCTAAGATTACTTTAGGAGTTTCCGGTGATGTCGCTGCAAGATGGGCGCTGGGGAATGAATCTCCCTTCCCCAAGCCCAATTTCTACCAGCTGGGGAGTCCAATAGACCAAAAGTCGCCCCGTAGAGGAGACTGGCCAAAGGGTGAAACTGCAGACCATGGCCCAGTGGTAGCTGGCCCTCTTGATCCAAAGGAGCCCTCGGGACTGGCAGAAAGAAAGGCTGACCACACCCATGTGGTCTGCCAGAAGCAGCTGATCATCAGAGACAATGAATTTTAAAAGCGGAAGGCAAAACAGCTGATCTGGGTGAGATTATTTTCCTTATCTCTCTACAAGTGAAAATATCGGATCTGGGAAACACAATTCAAAAGCAAGAAATCCCCAAGCTCCAGGGAGGGGGGATTTTTTCCTTACCCCTCCCTCCTGAACTATACATGGCGGTTTAAGCTTTGGGGAAATTAAAACTGACTTATAACATTATTGTGAAGATGACTGAGGCATAAAAGAAGGATAATTTGAAAAACTTTGGGATTTATAATTTTTTTTTTTGTTTATTCCTTGTTTGGAAATCATGGGGTTTTAACTTCTTAAACTTTTTTTAAAGTATGGTGGGAATGGATACCTAATGACATCTAGTGGCACAACTGAGAACTACACTCAACCTTGCTTTTCCTTGTCTTTATCTTACTGAGTTGCCCTGATTGGAGTCTTAAAACTTGGCTGTATGTTTAAAGATTTTGGTGTCCTTGGAATTTAAAGTCCTGAAGATTGTGGCTGAAAAAGAAAGAGTCTTTTTGGATTGCCCTGTCCTACAGGGTAGATTACAATTATAAATAAAAACTGTGTTTGACGTCATCGGACTTCCCTGGATTACAAATGCAGCTTGACCTGGAATTTTTACAAGCTGTTTTTAAAGAGCAAATAACAAGAAATCCCTTCAAACAGAATACTTTTGATTACAAATTTTGGTATATTTTTTTCCTCTTTTTTCTTTTCCCCTTTTTGCTCTTTTTTAACATTTACTATTTTTATTGTTTACCTCTTCTATTTGTTAGGAGCCTATTGGATTATAAATTTTGACTTACTTGGTGGATTACAACATAAAGATAAAGATGAGCGCTCCCAACTTATCTAAAGTTGGAAAAAAAGGATCTTCTGCTCCCTCTTCGGCTTCTGCAAGTCCAGTCTATCAGAGATCAATTGATACAATGCTTCAACAAGAAAAGGCTAATACCTTCCAAAAGGACACTCAAGCAACCCTACAAGCAATTTAAGAAGCAATTGCTACTCACATGGCGGTCACAACGAGAAACCATGAGGAGTTGAAAAGTGATTTTGATAAAATGAATCAAAAAGTTAACAATATGGATTCTCAATTTGAAAATTTTAAACAGATGATCACAGATAATCAACAAAGAATTCAAAAAATAGAAGATAAATCAACTGAGGTTGACCAGAAACTAGAAGTTTTAAAAGATGAAAATCAGAAATTGATCCACATCAAGGAAGAACTAGAAGACATGATAGCTGGGATGGTGATGGAAAGAGCTTCATACTTTTTAAGATTTCAAAATATAATGGAAGATAAGGAAGAGGATCTCCTAGGCTTCATAACAAAATTATTGGCAGACACATTAGGAACTGGGAAACAGCAAATGGAAGGAGAATTAGACCAGATCTATTGAGTCAACTCAAAGTATGCTAGAAGAAATAAAGTCCCCAGGGAAGTACATGTTAGATTTCTTAAAAGATCTACAAGAGACAAGATTTTGAGAAAAGACGAACCTTTGAAATACAAAGAAAAAGAAATTGTAGTCCTCAAACAAATTCCTAGGAGAATAAGAGAATCCCGAAGAGAATATCAGATTCTAACTAGGAAATTAATTGAAAAAGGAGTGAATTTTATATGGCTGATTCCAGAAGGGGTTTTAATTTACTGGGATACAAAAAGATATAGACTGGATACGCCACTTAAAGCAATGGAATTCTTCGACAACGACAGAGCATTCTTGGAAAGAGGTGACTCTGAATCCAGTGCAAAGAGAGAAACAAAGAAACAGGAAGAAATGGCAGTAGAAGGAGCAGTCAAACCAAGAGAGGAGGAAGAAATTAAAAACACATATACAGAAGAAGGAGCAAGACCAAGAGATCAGAGACAGATAAGATAGACTAGAAGATTAAGACCTAGATATATTTGAAAGAGATGGAGGAGAGTGGGATTTTGTCAATGAATATAAATGGACTAAATTCTCCTTCAAAAAGGAGAAAAATCTTTACACGATTACAAAAATTAAAAATGGATATAATTTGTCTTCAAGAAACACACATTAAGAGACAACAATATAAGTTGTTAAAACAACCAAAAATTGGTAAACTTCACTTTGCATTAGCACTTCAAAAGAAAAGAGGAATAGCTCAATACATTAAAGAAACAATGAACCCCAAACAAATTTATGTGGATGAAGGGGGCGAATATTAATGGTGGAAATAATGATGGATCAAAAACAGATACTGATGGTAGCAATATATGCACCAAGTGATAAACAAGAACAATTTTACCAAAAACTATATAAAAAATATTAGATTTAAACTATCAAAATCTTTGTATAATGGGAGACTTTAATGCAATAACAGATGGAACTGTGGACTACAAAAAACACCAAACAAGGGAGAAAAGGAGGAAATATATTACCTAAAGCATTTTTTAAAATGACAGAAGAACTCTGTGTCCAAGATATATGGAGAGAAAAAAATCCAAATAAATTACAATATACATTTTACTCAAATAGACATAAATAATAGTCTAGAATTGATATGATATGGACATCTTTGGAACTTAATATGATGATACAAGAAATTGAGATAGAAACTAATGTTTGGGCAAATCATAACCCAATAAAGATGACTTGGAGAGGTACTAAGAAAAAATTAAGATGGTCCTTGAATAAATCTATATTGAAAGAAAAAGAATTTCTACAACTAGCGACAAAGGAAATGGATTTTTTTTCTTCAAAATAAACAAGAAAGAAGAAACATCGCTTCAAAATG